AGTGTGTGAGTGAGTGTGTGTGTGAGAGTGTGTGTGTGTGTGTGTGTGTGTGTGTGTACTGGTTTATATATCCTGGTGGGGACTTAAACCTGACTACACACAGACTCATGGGGACTCGTGTCCCGGTGGAGACCTAAATTGTGGTCCCCACAGGGTACAGTTTTTTGAAAATCTAAAAAATCAAAAAAATGCAGAAAGTCTCCTGTGAGGGGTAGGTTTAGGGGTAGGGTTGGTGTAGGGCAATAGAATATACGGTCTGTACAGTATAAAAACCATTACGCCTATGGAGAGTCCCCATAAGGATAGCTGACCAGACATATGTGTGTGTGTGTGTGTGTGTGTGAGTGTGTTTGTGTGTGCGTGCATGTGCGTTTGTGTGTGCGTGTGTGTGTGTGTGTGTGTGTGTGTATGTACTCACTGATGTCACAGTATTGTCCAGTATATCCAGATGTACATCCACACACCTCTTCCCCAGTGGCTTCAATCATCCTACAAACTCCATAATTTTCACAGCAATTCCTCGAACATGCTAAACACACACACACACACACACAGAGAGAAGAATGTTCAGCAGGAATACAGCAGTAGCTGCTGTGGCCTGTAGCATGAAGCCGGTTTCGGTTTTTACCCAGGTAAGTTCACGTTTAGTTTGAGCAAACTCTGAGTTTTTAGGCTCAATAAGGTGGGTTGGTTTTGAGTGGGTTTCGTCACAATGGTAACTTACGCTACACAGCTACCCAGATCCGGAGCAGGTTTTATTCTGGGTTAGATCACAAACCCAAACTGGACCAATCAGCTGTGAGCAAAGTCACAAATATCAGATGCAATGAAGCCACTCCCCCTTATCTCTCGCTCCAAATTAAAGCAGTTTAGAGCAGAAGAATTTCAGAGACAAAATTGTCTTTTGCTGCTAATCATTTATTATACTCATATCATATGAATTATAATAATATAAAATATTTAAAAATATATTATATGAGCTGGCAATTAATATTAAATTTGCATTTGAATTAATTTAAATATATACAATGCCTATAAATAAGTTTCAATATATAAAGCTTTTAAAATTACTAAACGTTCTGTATTTTCTTTTGAGCTCTGTGTGAAACTATATAAACTTAAATTCAGCTTATTCTTTTGCATAGTCCGATATTTTCTTTCTGCTGCCTTCTCAAACGTTTGCTGCAGCAGCAGTGTTTATTCCTGCCTTGTAAATGCATTTAAATGAATTATATTTTTAATAACGACATCTCTTTATTTTTAACAGAGAAGTGAATTGCGCTGACTCTCGCGAGAAGTGAATCAGTTAATCAGTTAATCACAAACTCTGGATCAACCCTGAGTTGACAGAGCACGTTTATATCGAGCTTTGTGAGCCCGCTGATCCTGAACGAAACTAGGTTTGATTAGTTTGGTTTTAACAACTCTAAACCTACCCTGAAACTCAGAGTTTGTCCTTCTCGCTTCGTGCTACAGGCCACAGGTGATCAGGTGTCAGTTGTTGATTTACTCGTGTAACGAGCACGCTCGTAGCACTTCTCTACAAAACAAACCACAGAAGCGAACCCGAGCATCAGAACACACCCTCCCGGCTCTCCCAACCATCAGAACTCGACCGATATCAGATGACAGACAACAAAGACACGAAACCTTCACGGATCACAGGACATGTGATAGCGTTAAAGATGAGAGATTTTAAAACATAAAAGAGAGCGACGCATGAATGGAGACCAACGTGTGATTCTGTGCTAGAAAAATGAAGATACATAGATCCAACACTACTATCGTTAATTAAGCTATTATCATTCCTATTACTAACCAAAAAATAACTTTGATGGAACTATAATTCATTATTTCAGAATAAAAAAGATAGAGAGAGATAGACATAGACATAGAGAGATAGAGAGATAGAGAGAGAGAGAGAGACATAGATAGATAGAGAGAGAGAGAGAGAGATAACAGTGACTCCCTGCACCGCTGCACACCTGACTCCATGGCGGAGCGACACAGGTGAGGCCACCCCCGCGGGGGTAGACGCCATCCCAATGCCGCCTGAAAAAATTCCAAACCACTCACAAAAAAATCTAATGTTATTTTTGAAAGAAAAAAATCCTTCAAATGATAAGAAAAACTAAAAAATAAATAAATAAGCAGATATACGTAGATATATAGGCTGAAAAAACACCCAAATCACTCGTTCTCTCCCCGTAAGCACCCTCACACGCACCCCAAACACTCCCAGCATGCACCGAGAGAGAGAGAGACAGACAGACATTTTTGGACACTTAATTGCATGTTAATTGCAATTAGATGAAAATGTATTATAGTTTAAATTAGTGCTGGTCAACGATTAATCGTGATTAATCGCATCCAAAATAAAAGTTTTTGTTTATATAATATATGCTTGTGTACTTTGTATATTTATTATGTATATATACAGACACACATACAGTATATCTTGTGAAAATATTTACATGTATATATTTATAATTCATTTAATATATAAACATAACATATTTTTCTTAAATATATACATACATGTGTGTGTATTTACATATACACAATAAATATACACAGCACACACACATATATTATGTACCTGTACACAAAAACTAATCGTTGCCCAGCAGTAGGTTAAATTGATAATAAATAAAATCAGCTGAACTTTAGTGTTTTAGACCCACTTAAGTAGGACTCAAGTACATCTTTACAGTATATGTAATTCCATAATTACTTCTACTGTCTCTGAAATATTTTTAAAGTACTGCTGAATGTACTGACATTTATTATAGCCTAAAATATACTTTAATGTCATTTCTAGTGAAACATGAATGTACGTTTCAATAGAATTTAAATATTTTTACATTTAAATATATTTAATTGTATTTATTATTAAATACTATAAATATTATATTGTGTAATAACTTATGAATTTAGAACATAACATAAGATTTCAGAACATTCAGAATACATTGACTGTAGTACTTTTAAAATATATTAAATATGATATTGAATAACGTGCAACAGATAAAATGATAATCAAGTTCTATACATGTGCTTTCGTATGTTAGTCAATACTTCAAAATAAGTGCACTTCTTTAAAACACGACAGAAGGTATAATGATGATTTAAAATGCAAACTTTTGATCTGACATTATTTCCAATTTTTAAAAGAGCACTTAAGTGTGTTACGAAACAGTCATGCGTGTCTCTCTTTAAGTCACTTAAGTGGCCTTTTATTTCATTAATAGTATATTATCTGCAAGTACAGATTTTTAAAAATACACTTTTAAGATTTGAAGTACACTACAAGTGCATAATCATAATCGCATTGTATTTATCATTATGTAAATATGACCCCTTCACTGTATGTGTGTGTTTGACTCACTCTTTTCACACAGAGCTCCAGTGAATCCATCCAGACAAACACAATCAAACGAGTTCAGATGAGCGGCCGTCGCACAAACGCCGCCGTTCAAACACGGGTTCTGCTGACAGAGACTCGACCCGCGACGCGGAGCCCTGAGCAGAGGAGGAGATAAATACAGCAAAACTCGCTTATCATCATGACTGGAGAGCTGATTCATCGTGCAGCTGAGTTCAGAGGCACTATCTGTTTTACAATCATAAACAAATGCAGTCCACATCACTCCCAGCCCCGATGACTGAACTTCCACATTTAAAAGTGCGTGTAAATACAGTACAGAAGCATTCAAACTCGCAGAGCACATTCTGGCTCGAGTGCATTGAATTGCACTGAAGTCTCATAGAGGAAAGCCACTAATGACCTTTCAAAAAACCAGAGCATGACGCCGCTGTTCGTAAGCGTCTACACACGCAGTGTGTTTGAACCAGAGCACAAACTCTGTGCATCTGCTGTTATAAACATGGAGGTCTGGTGGAGCGCGTCTCACAAACAAAGCACCCACACTTTTTCCTGCCACGAGCGAAAAATGTGCTCTTGACCACCGTCATGATACGTTTAATGACTTGCTGGCGATGTAAAATGAAGCAGTAAGGTGAATAATACAATGATTTGAATACAAAGTTTCTTTAGCAGCCGTTAGAGTGGTTTTGAGTTTAATTTTAAAACTGTTTAAGTTTAGTTACGTTTAAAACTGTTTAGTTCACTTCCATGCAGTGTTGTTTCTGTTAAGTTAAAATGGTCAAACATTGTTAAATATATTTTATTTTAGATTTAGGTTTTAAGTTATTTAAGTTTCGATTAAAATGAGTTTAAGTTGAAGTACTAAGATTACTAAAGCTTTCTAAAAATAAAATGTAAATTAAAATACAAACAAAATTAGATATAAATATATAAATGCATTGATAAAAATGTGTGCTGTCAAATATTTAATCGCGATTAATCGCATACAAAATAAAAGTTTTTGTTTATATATATATATATATAGTATATATGTGTGTACTGTGTAAAGTTATTATGTCTATATAAATACACACACATACAGTATATATTTCGAAAATATTTACATGTATATATTTATATTCATATAATTTATATTATAAATATTAAAATATAAATGTAACATATTTAAAAATATATATTTACATGTGTGTAAATATGTGTGTGTATTTATACATAATAAATATACATAGTACACACATATATTATGTAAACAAAAACTTTTATTTTGGATTCATATTATTTTATATATTATTTACTCAAATATATTATCACTCTAATGTAACAATTCATTTGCATCAGCACTCAAAAATGTTTATGGAAGCCTCTGCATTTTTTGTATATTTTTAGTATATTAAAATGCATTTAGAGATATTTGTTGGCAAATATTTATATTTATTACTATATTTAATGCATATGAACAACTGTGTTCATTAAACTATAACATGTCATGCTTGTTTTAAATCTAGAATTTACCGTGCTTCATTTTATTAAACATTCTACACATTTTGAATCTAATTGGAAATAATGACTGTCTGGTTTCTCTGAAAGGTAAAAAAAAAACGAGAGCAAATACTAGAGACGAGATATCTAATGCAAGCTCTGACTTTACAGAAGAACATATGCCGACTTAATAGTTTTAATAGGATGAAAGGACAATTTCTTACCATTAAAGAGTCGTGCTTGTGAACTGCAGAATCCCCACTTCTGGTCGCGGTCGAAGTTATGTGTGAGAGAGCACCTATAACACAAGACCAGCCCCAAACACAATGAGCCTGACACACATCCGAAACACTCCAGACCCGAGAAAACACCAGGGTCACAAACAACAAAGCGAACTGATTGCACGAAATTCCCTTATTCTTGACAAACACAAACTATAAAACTATAAAAGCTCAAAGTTACAGCAGTTCACTTGCCATGAGTGAAACACAAAACTATTTACCAGCTTATGAAACAGAAGTGTTGCATTGTAAGCTTTTGTAAGAATGCAATTGTATTTGATGTGCTCTTGTAGTGTACTTCAGATCTTACAAATAGGCTATGTTTTGTTTTTGTTAAACTGTACTAGATAATATAATATTAATGAAATAAAATGTCTCTTAAGTGACTTAAAGAGAGACACTCATGACTGTTTCTAAACGCAATTAAACAGTGACCTTTGTAACAATGTCAAATTAAAAGTTTCTTTAAAGTACATTTTAAATCATTATTCCAATAATATGTTGTCGTGTTTTAAAGATGCACACTTATTCTGATGTGTTGACTAACATACTAAAGCGCATGTAAAGAACTGGATTACCATTTTAACTGTAATGTTATGCAATACTGCATTTAAAGTTAATATATTTTAAAAGTACTAAATTGCGAATTAATTTTTTTTTTAAATACATGACAAGCTGTAGTCTACACGTTTAATAAAAATGACATTAAAGTATATTTTAGTTCAACCATATAGAAGTAACTGTGCAATTACACATAAAGATGTACTTAAGTCCCACTTAAGTGGATTAAAAAAACACTCTAAAGTTCAGCTAATTGCATTTAAAACTATTATACATTTTGCAATTGACCGTCACATTTACATATTTTCCGAGCCGACAATATAACGTGAAACCTATGAAAAAACAATGTCAAATTAAACGTTTATTTAAAGTACATTTTAAATCATTATTCCAATAATATGTTGTCGTGTTTTAAAGATGCACACTTATTCTGATGTGTTGACTAACATACTAAAGCGCATGTAAAGAACTGGATTACCATTTTAACTGTAATGTTATGCAATACTGCATTTAAAGTTAATATATTTTAAAAGTACTAAATTGCGAATTAATTTTTTTTTTAAATACATGACAAGCTGTAGTCTACACGTTTAATAAAAATGACATTAAAGTATATTTTAGTTCAAACATATAGAAGTAACTGTGCAATTACATATAAAGATGTACTTAAGTCCCACTTAAGTGGATTAAAAAAACACTCTAAAGTTCAGCTAATTGCATTTAAAACTATTATACATTTTGCAATTGACCGTCACATTTACATATTTTCCGAGCAGACAATATAACGTGAAACCTATGAAAATGGATTAAAAAAGCACATGACACCATAGTTTCATCATTTTACAGTTTCGCAATGAACGTCTTTGTGCAATAAAGGACTTGTCATAGTTTGATGAGTGGGAAGATAACATGAAACGACACGATTAGCTGCATTGAATACAGATGAGCACACATGTGCATATATAGCTCCCGATCGGGGCGAAGTTCACAGGATTTTGTCAACAGAATGATAAGAGCACACATTATTTTAACAGTATTTTATAATTTCACACTCAGTATTTTAACTTCAGCGCCGCAAGCCATGCATACAGTGCCGGACGCAAAACAAGTACTTTAAAGCAATTCCTTTACCTTACGGCGGCAAATAATATCTGCGCTCTGATTGGTTAGATCGCCTGTCAATCAAGCTCCCTGCGAACGGTCAATTAGCATGCAATTAAGAGTCTAAAACATTACATTCAGTTTACACTTAAAGGGAAAGGTCACCCAAAAATGAAAATTCTGTCATTAATTACTCACCCTCATGTCGTTCCAAACATGTAAGATCTTCTTTTTGAAGAGTTAGGGTTAGGGTTAGGTGATATGGCGTATTAGGCGTACGTGATAATCTTCAAAAATGGTGCTATAGGGTGATAAATTCGTTATTTTTGTTTTCTTTGTGCACAAAAAGTATTCTCGTAGCTTTATAACATTACGGTTGAACCACTGATGTCACATGGATTATTTTAACGATCTCCTTGCTACGTTTCTGAGCCTTGATCGTGGTAGTTACCTTGCTGTCTATGGGAGGGTCAGAGAGCTCTCGGATTTCATCAAAATATCTTAATCTGTGTTCCGAAGATGAACGAAGGTCTTATGGGTTTGGAACGACATGAGGGTGAGTGATTAGTGACAGAATTTTCATTTTTGGGTGAACTATCCCTTTAAGTATATTCTAAGTTTATGTAAAAGTGTACTTATTTTTCACAACAGAACCACCGTCAAGGTAAAAAATAAATAGAAAGCACGGTATAATACTCCATACAACATACAGTATGTCTGCTATATTCCCGATCTTCTGAAGCCAAACAAAGCGTTGCGTGATCAAGCAGAGCGAACAAAGTTGAAGCTGAGAATGAATCACTAGACGATTCAATTGATTCTGTTCAAGAGTCAGACTAATCAGCTTCACGCTTGCAATGGCTTTCAATGCAAGAGAAGATTCTCAGTGAATAACGACTTACAGAATTCAGTCTGTTCTTCACAAAAAGCATCATATGATTTGCACACGAATGGTATGGACTTTTTTTGGGGAACTTGACAGGTGATAAATGAAAGAGAGCTGCGTGATGATTCTTCAGAATTCTTCTTTTGCATTCCACAGAAAGAAATGCTAGCATAAGGGTTTGGGAGAATACGAAAACAAACTGAGAACCACGAGCAAACCCTGCTCCAGATGTCTGGAGTGAATCCTCAGTGAAGGAGATGTGCACACACTCGTTGAGCTGCAGTGATGTGACATTCATAACGCACCGCCTCTGCCTGATACCACTCACTCGCTCTCAGTGTTTAGAAGTGTTTATGAAACCGGTACGTGTGTAGTCATCTGCTCCACTCGCTGATGTCTAGCAGAGGAACCTAAAGAGCTGCGCAGATGATGACGAATGAGTAGTGGTAGAGTCAAGGGTTAAGTCTGGGCTGGGTAAAGGTTACTCAAGCTCTTTGATTAGGCTTACATCAGAACCAGGGCTGGGTTCTGACTTTGGCTTGATATTTCTGGGTTAGTAAGGACTTTTTTTTATTTTTTTATTTAGGCAACAAGGTGAAATAAAGTTTGCCGTTTCTTTTCTTTTATTGTAATGTAATAAATGTAATGTAATATACCTGATTCAGTCTTGTTTTGATCTAGTATGTGTTGTATTAGGCTACATGGATCCCATCAGAAGAGTAGATTTAAGATTGATACCAAAATGCAATAAAACTTTAAAGCTGTTAACTAATACATTTGTATTATGTTGTGTATATATACACATTTATATTTAGCACTTCAAATGTTACCATTCTAAAGTATACAAAGTAGAAGTAAGCTATTATATGTGACGCTGCAGCACAAAAGCAGTGTTAAGTCGCTGGGGTATATTTGTAGCAATAGCCAACAATACATTGTATGGGACAAAATTATACATTTCTCTTTTATGCCAAAAATCATTAGGATATTAAGTAAAGATTATGTTCCATGAAGATATCTTGTAAATTTCCTACCGTAAATATATCAAAACTTAATGTTTGATTAGTAATATGCATTGCTAAGAACTTAATTTGAACAACTTTAAAGATGATTTTCTCAATATTTAGATTTTTTTTGCACCCTCAGATTCCAGATTTTCAAATAGTTGTATCTCAACCAAATATTGTCCGATCCTAACAAACCATGCATCAATGGAAAGCTGATTTATTCAGCCTTCAGATGATGCATACATCTCAATTTCGAAAAATTGACCCTTATGACTGCTTTTGTGGTCCTGGGTCACACATATAGTAGAAAAAAAATAAGATTGTGTCCCCAAACAGCTGTCAGTATCATAAAAAATAGTGTCAAAAAGTTATTTATAACTGTATATTAATTACAATGACAAAGAGATAGACCAGTCAAAAGTAGTTTCTAAACTGTGCATCCCTTACTGCATGTATGTTTATATTGATCTGTTGTGGGTTAGATGAGAGTCTGACCGTTTACAAGAAAATGACAAGTTGTTAAGGAATCTTTGTACTGTTTGTGAAACAGCGCTGACAAATCGACCTGTTCTTCTTTATATAGCTAGTAGCATATATGCTGATATGTAGCCCAGTTAAGAGCACTGCTAATCCAGATTTGGTAATCTGGGGGAAAAAAGATTATCAGTGATCCAGTCCAATGTTGCTCTGAAAAACTGGTTCAAAAGTAAGATGGATTACCTGATCCTGAATAGCAAAAGATTTGAGTTTTATTTCAGTTTTAGTCGGACTTATTTTAGTACATCAATTTAAACTAAATGGAAATAATAAATGTTGCCTTTTTCGAACTAGCTGAAATAAAATAAGTTTATTTTATTCCAGTTTTGTTTCTTTTATTTCCAGTAACAAAACATGTTCTTTGGTTTTAGTTATAATGACCCTTGTCTTGGCTTACAATGGATCTGAATTGATGTGGGTTTAGCTGGACAGATTTGGGCTGGTCAGAACCTAGGTTTATCTGACTTGTTTTTCGCTACCCCAAACCCAGATTCTAACTCATCCCAAAACCAGATCCTCAGAATGTCTACGGATCTACGACTGAGGTTATAAACTGATTGCCTTTGCTCTGCTGATTTATTGGTTAGTTGAGCAGTTACACATGGATCTGAGAGTAGTGGGCTATTATCGGTACGTGAAAACATCAAACTATTTAGATAAACAAACACATTCTACGCATGCAGATTCTTTGTGAGTCTGGTTGTGATTTACTGCAGCTTTGGGCTTTGAGACCTGAGACTGGGTTTGATGGTCAGCAGTTTGAGGGTTATTTCTCTGCGATTACTGAAAAATAACCGTTGAGGGACAGCGACATTGAACGTGTGTGTACTATTAGCACTTACCAGGCCTTGTGAGTGTTCATAGAGATACACTGGTGATAAATCAACCCGCCAAAGCGAAAAGGAAACTTGCAGTCTTTGCCATCTGTTGTGAGAACTACAACACACACATACACACACACACACACACACACACACACACAAAGAGAGAGACACACACACACACACACAGAGAGAGAGAGACACACACACACACACACAGAGACAGACACACACACACACATCCAGTAAACCAAGAATTATTAGAAACAGAAACTCTCTGAAAGCAATTGGAAAACAGTTCATACCTTTCTGGGTTACAGTGTTGGACTGTCCGGAAACTAATATTTCAATACCAGGTGGCTGCTTGCGCTTTAATAGAGAGAGAGAGAGAGAGAGAGACACCCGACCTTACATAAGTCAAAGGTATGTCAACCGCACAAACTCCTGAGAGTCATTTTACAGAAAAAAAAAGCACAGACATTTAGTATCTCATAACACTATGGGCTCATGTATGCTGTGCACATAGAGTGAACGATGCTTTGTCCTGCCAGCGGTGGCAGAGGCTGATAGCCCCCAGCACTGGGTCTGGAGTTGTCCTTGGCTGAGAAAGTGCCCCTTGTCTGAGGCTTTCAATGGCAAAAGTAAGTTTCTGGCTCAGACTCACCACAGCTATCCAATGCCACTTGACTACACACTGACAGAAACACAAGTCACGTGGGGTAATAAAAGGCAGGAAAAAGGTGGAAAAAAGACATAAGCATTTTAGTGCTTTTGAAAGAAGTCTATTATGCTCACCAAGGCTACATTTACTTTATCAAAATTACAGGAAAAACCTAATCTAAATAACTGTTTATTCCTGTGATGACAAAGCTAAATTTTCAGCAACCATTACTCCAACTTCAGTGTCAAACGATCCTTCAAAAATCATTCAAATAGGCTGATTGTGTTCTAGAAATATTTCTTATTATTATCACAGTTGAAACAGTTGTGCTGTTCAATATTTTTGTGGAAACTGTTAATTTTTTTAAGGATTCTTTGATGAATGAAAGTTCAAGAAGAACAGCATTTAGTTATAATATCTTTATATAATATTTAATAAATAGAATTTTTTTTTTTAATCTTTACCATCATTTTTGATGATTTCAATGCATCCTTGCTGAATAAAAGTTTTTTTTTTCAGTGGGTAAACATGTTCAATAAAGCTAAACTGCATAGCAAGCAGAACATAGCAAGCAGAAGTCATTCATTTTCTTTGAGAGTTGGCAATTTAATGCCGTCTGAATGCCCCTTTGCATAACCAAGTGCAAAATCATAACATTATTGACTGGGGATCGGGAACAAGGCTCATTAAACTACAGTAAACAAATAAACATTGTGTCTACTCAAACCCAGTCTAAATCGTTTCCACAGATGATCTGCTTACACTCTGAATTCTTTTTGCTCCAGACATCATCATAACCAGACAAAACCTTTCCAACCCACTGTGTGCCCTGTGAGACTGGAAGACTTGGACAGTTTTAAACTGTCCCTCTCCAAAGATGCCTGATTCAATTTCCTCAGACTTTGCTATTTGTGAATCAGACTTTGAAAAATCATTTCGAGTTCGAGTTAAACCTCAAGGCTCGATCCAGCCTGAAACCTAAGCATGCCCACAATTTATAAGGTTTATAATTTAATCCCATGATTATGGATTTGTAATATGATAATATCCCCCATCTGCTGCTTAATTCTCAACGATAAGCTATAAGAGATGGCTTTGGTTTCTATCAAGCTCCTCCAAGCTGCTTTTGAACCCAAGCACATTGCTGCAGTTCTGGATAAGAGGCCTCAGCCGCAAAGGCACAACCAAGCCAGTGATTCACAATCATTCACTACAGACAAAAAAAAAGAAAAAGGCCTAGAATTGGGTCCATGTTGGCTGTATGGCTTTACACTGGCATCTGAAGCGGACCCACAGACAAAGGAATCGGCCTCATGGAATGATTAATGCTTCTGGGTTGTAGAAGATATGGCCACAGACGGGGTTACGGTAGGGTAATTGGGGGGTTGTGAGAATGAGTGCTGACACAAAAAGAAGGCCTGTAGGCAAGGAAAGAATACGTCTATCTGGTTAGTGCAGAGATGAGGATGAAATATGAATTGTCCACGTCAACAGGCAATTGGAAAAAGCAGCCTTACAGAGTCTAGCCCCGTCTGTGTTGACAATCAAAACATAAATCTTAAAACTGCATAGTATCCCACACAGCACAAAAGAAACAAATGGAATGAAATTGTTATCTTTATAGGCTATATCTTATATCGGTTATATAACATGTAACTTACATTAGCGCTTTAACACACATAGACCTACACATTAAATTATTATTATGAACTTTATGGCCAGATTTAATGCATGCAAAAAAAAAACACAAATTCACTGTTGCTGCTGTATGCTTTTGATTTACTAAAAAGAACCAGCTCATGAAGAATCATTAATTCGGGAATCAGTTTCATGTCGCTATTTCGCGATACCCAGTGTTTTAAAAATATCTTGTTATCTTATTAACAGAGGCTGCAAACTCACATCCACAAACGGGTAAAATTAGTTTCCGTTTGCTATGGCCCTGAAAATTCAAGCAGTGAAGGAAACACTAATGTTTAGAATAAATAGCGATTATTCTCTTATATGTAGGCTATTTGACATTGTTCGATAACAACTCGATGTTTCGAGATACTCACAGAAACAGTCGCTCTTTGTTTTGATCTTGCCGACCCCATCAATGCAATGAAACATCATTCAAAGTGTCACATTTAAAGTATCTTAGGCTTATGGGAATGTGGTTCATTCAGTTTAAGATGAGATTTTTCCTCTCATCTACAGCGAATACTCATTAGTCATTGTAATAGCAAGTTGTGAGTTGTTAATGATGCTAATAGCATATGCAGATTCATGTCGGATGACCCATAAGACGCCTGTGTAAACACCCACCCTCCCTCTAGAGTCTCACACCCCCCACTGAGACCCTCCATATGGTCTCTGTCCCAGGAAAACGCCCACACAATAATGAACAGTGATCAAGACATTATGGGACTATGGGAGTGAATTTATGGCTAATTGTGTATGTCTCATAGGTTTTCTTTGGTATAAACGATTTGGCAGCAGCGGAGAGACACATAGACACATACACACACAGAGAGAGACACACACACACACACAGAGAGAGACAGAGACACACACACACACACAGAGAGAGAGAGAGACACACACACAGAGAGAGAGAGACAGAGACGCACACAC